CGTAAATTTATAAATTCTTGTTCATCAGAATCGTAATATTAATAATTTATTGTCTTTTTATCAAGATAGTAATAATACAAAATTGTTTGGTTATTAATTATTAAATTGTGCAAAATATTTGATTCTCTATTAAATGTCAAAAATGTTATTAATTTTATGTATTTTTTTCTTTTTACAGTTGCTGTGATATGTTTATTGTAGATATTAAGTCAGATATTTACGTACATCTACATACAGATATTCAAAATGAATGATTCTTTCCTGGAAGAGTTAGAACTAATACCAAAAGAATCAAAAAAGACACCTCAGCAACCGGATCGCCATGTAACTACCAGGCATGCTACTTCATCTCCATTAACTCATTTCTTAGAACAAAATGAGAGAGATGATATTATGCGACAGAAGGAACATTTTACGATAACAATTCCAAGTACACCTAATATAAAAATCATAGATAATAAAGAATCTTCTTCAAAAAATTTCAAGAAACAATCTGATCAAAATGTGAAAAAATATTCTGTGAATGTAAAAGCGTCAGAGAAAACGGAGAAGATTGCAGACAACAAAAGAAAGTCTTCGGATATGAAAATAAAAATGAGCAATAGTAATCAGCAGAGTATTAGTGGAGAACAGAAAATAAAACTTCATGAGGTAAAATATTCTAAAGCATCTGAAAACAAAGATCGTAAACGACGTTCAGGATCGTATAAAGAAATTACTTATACTTTCTCTAAAGAGAATAAACGTTCTCTTGATTCTTCTATTAATAATTCTTCAGATACTTCTAGTAAGGAAAATAGTCGTCCTTCTGATTCTTCTAAGGAGGCTGGTCCTCATAATTCAATTAAAGAAAAGGAAAAGTCAGTTGATAAATTGAGGAAATCAGGTGTGAAAATACAAGATCAAGATCCAGTTATTTTACTTACTGCTATCAAAGAAGTGATAAGCACATATACCAAGCAAGAAAGTACAAAAATTCTACGCGCTATGCAGGAGCTACATATAAATTCTCAAGCTACCTTGATAAAAAATCTCTTGAACCAAACAGATGATCTGGTTAAAGAAATGCATCCTAGCAAAGAGTCAGCTAGAATGAAAGCATTGATTGATGAGAATGAGCAATTACATCAGGAGTTAATGACTTTGCGAATGCGAAACGAAAGTTTACAGAATAAATTAGAAGAACTTGAATTTTTGAGACAAGAAAATGCGACTTTAAAATTAAAATATAACGAGCTAACTCAGACATAATATACAATTGCGTTAAATATTGGACCACGAAATATTTTGTTTTTTGCACAAAGTGCTAATTAGGAATATATTTATTTTAATTGCTTGACATTTTAAAAAATATATAGCAAAATTGAGAAACATTTTTTGCACGAAAACTGCCATAAGAGATTATACTTACTAAACTATTAATATTTAAATTTATTTTTATCTAATGATATAAAGAATATTTAAGTATTAATACATATATAGTGAAATAAAATGTTGACTTATTAAACTATCGATGACATTGTATATCGTTAAAATAATTTATTTTTTTACAAAAATGTTAGATATTAGTGTTAGATATTAGTTTAGATGTATGCGCATTATTTTAAAAGTTTATCCTATAATAAAGATTTTGTAACATTTAATAAATGGGTTTATATTTACTTACAAAATTGTTTTTATGTCAAATTCCATAATTCCTTGTATCAAAATTATAGGACACAATTTTATTCTTATACTATTGGAATATTTTATGTGGTAAATTAATTTGAAATAAATAGAATTATTTGATTTATCAAATATTAATAAAAGTTTTAGGATATTAAAAAGTATTTTTAGAAAAGAAAAAAAAAATATATAT